AAAAAAAAGGAATATCCACGAATTCCCAGACAAAGGAATACCCACAAATTTCCTTTATAAGAAAATTAAAGCATTTACGAGAATTTTTATTATGAATTTTATTACGAAAATTACGAAAATACGAAAATCATGAAAAAAAAAAATTAAAGCGCTTACAAATTCTTCACCATAAACAGATAAGTACTTCTCAAAGACCAATGCCGCTTCTTTGTCTTCACCAGATGATTGAAAAAGTCTGAAAATATAGAATTAAAAAGAAAAAAAAAACACCAAAAAAGTGCTACAAGTGCAAAAAATATTCAAAGACCTGTCAGGTTCAAGATTCAAATTCAAAGGTTCAAAGGTTTAAAATTCAAAGATTCAAAGGTTCAAGACTCAAAGACAAAAGATTCAAAGTGACTGTTGCCAGGATCTGTGGTAGATTTGTCGGTTTAAAATGATATAGTTTTGGCCACAGGAACCGTGAGAAAGTTGCCCGCATCAATTGTGCGCAGGTCTGAACAAAGTTACCGGAGGCTGCGTATGCAGGGAGAGGATCTGGCTTGCCTATTTCATAGGCCGTTAATTCATGGTGAATCTCCCGGGTTATTAACTTCAGCAGACGTCAAGCGATCAATTCCTGGTACCAAAACGAAAACAAAATAACCGCTCAGGTGGCGTCCGGAAAAAAAGATAATGCGTATGCATCGAACAAGCAATCGAGAATGATCGAAAATATAAAGTTCAACATTGAAATCGTACTAAAAGCGAAATATGGGGTCGATTTCTCTAATACTGGAAAAAAAACGAAATCTGAAATCGATTTCTCAGGTAGTCTTTTGAATGTTTCCTTCGTCCCTTGTTGAAATTAATTCGTACTCGTTTGCTTTGTGCGGTTGGTTTTGGATGTTCAAAATTCAAACCCTTTCTTCTCTTGTTCATTCGCACTCCCGTCTCCTCCTCCTCTCCTTTTCTTTATGCGAGATAGATGCAATCGGTAGCAAGCGTTCAGGAAAATACGATAAAACAGCTAAGAAATACACTTGGAAAATTTACTTTCCCAGCAGCATGAGAGCAGTTCCTTCAACATCGCCGACTTTGTAGGCCTTCAGATAGCAATTCTGGGCATCGGCTATTCGACTGAGACGAACGTACACTTCACCCAATGCAACAAGCATGCGCGAATCATTTGGCCTTCAAATGTGCAATAATTTTACTCTTGCCGGCTCATCCGCATCCTAACTGCATATGGTTTCTCCCCTTCCCTCCCACAAAAGCATTTATAGCTCTCTAGCTCGTCTGTTTACATAAGCAGGGCGAAGAACAAAAGAAAAATACACCGGACTACCACTGGCACCCATGCGATGTTGAGCTAACACAGGAAAAACCTTCAATAAATCCATTCATCCACTCAAAATATGTAAATATGGTTGTTTAAAGATAAAGCAGAATGAAGAAACTGCCAGTTACGTCTATGGATTGGAAAAAAAACTCAAATATTGAAAGTAAATGCAATCGACTACTTTTATACTGCGCCTCAGTACTACCTTATCAAATCTGTAAAATGACAGTATCACTTCTACAAATCATAAATTTCAATCTACTGAAAAAAGCGGTGCAAATCAAAAGAATGTTCCGAAAATACACAATACGAAGCAGAATCTTCATCTTCTCTTGAACAACCTAGCGCCTCAAATGTGAATGTTCTTCGACTCATTCTATCACCTTATTTCATTGTAGCATCCAAAAAAATTTCCCAGACCTAAACAATCTCAGTGAGCCTCCTCCACCACTCACAAATCAGTGACACTGTCAAGGAACAAGCCATAGCAAAATTAACATCTCTCACCTGCATGTATGCGCTTTCTGATAATAGTACAACGAATAAGAGGGCATTTTCAATATATCGTAGAGTTGGCCCAACCCGTACCAGCCACGATAATCTTGCGGATCGGTGTCTGCAAGCAAAGAAAAAATTTCTGACTGTTCCGATATTTGACTTCTTTTTCTGATAATTGTTTATTTTTTAAAATTTTCTAAACAATCACACCTCAGTCCTTCAAAAGAAGGGAAAAAAAACATTAGAAATACCATCAAATAATGTATCAGAAAAAATTTCTGATGATTATTCCGACATTTGAATTTTTTTCCTGATAATTTTTTACTTTTTTAAAATTTTCTAAACAGCCACATCTCTGTCGTTCAAAAAAAGGGAAGAACATTAGAAATACCAACAAGCAATGTATCATTGGTAAAAAAACACTACAAAAACTACCAACGTACAATTTTATCAAAAAGCGAATGGCCTCCGAAAAAGTGGTGCACAGAATCATATACGTGTAATAACTACACACACACACACACACACACACACACACACACGCACACACACACACAGACACACACACACACACGGCTCAAGTGCGAACGGCCTGACATAGCTGCTTCCGACCTCTGAGAGAATCCCAGTAAAATTTTCCACTAAAATAGGATACCCACACCATCTGTGCGGGAAATCCTGGTAAAGAGACAATACACTCACCAACCGCTTTACGATATGCGAGACACGCAGCTGAATTATTTTTTTGTTCCATGTATTCGTGCCCAATTAGTGTCCATGCTGCTGCATTATTTGGATTCAGCTTGAGCGATCGTTGCAGGAAAATCACTGCTTTATCGTGATCACCACGCAAACTATAGTAATTTGCTGCAAGGAAATTTTTTTTTTGAAAAAATACAGAGAAATAAGCCTCCAGAATGCGACGACTGCATTTAAGCAAGTGAGTCGCATGACTTATTGGCCCGAAGCATTTCTGTTCATCTGATTTTTTTTAATACTTTTTTTTCCGTGTTCACCTGATTATTTTTTTTTTTTATTTTTTATTATATCGTATTATTATTAACACCTTTGTCAAGCATATATAAATATGCAGTTTCAATAAAAATATAAAATATATTAAAGGATAAAGAGAAAATGATGAAGTAGAAAAAATGAAGGGAAGAAAAACGAAGTAGAAAAGGGAAATGGGAGTATGGAAATATTTGTAATAGGTAAGAAATGTTT